CTACTTGTCTCTTCACGGAGGAGAGCAGCAGTGGCTAGAAGCTAGTGCTGCCCTCTGAAGATGCATCACACCTGTAATACCAGCACTCGGGGGGCTGCGGTCAAGTTCAAGGCCAGCCTGGACTACAGAATGAGTTCAAGGCCAGCCTGAACTGCTTAGTGAGACCCTGTCTCCGGAAACCTGACAAACACCCTCCCAGAAAAGTGATGGCCACATTACTAGATTTACTTCTCCACCTGTAGTTTATAAAACACTTTGTGTGATAAATGCTTAAGTATGTATTATTTCATCGTGGGCTGTGTGTGTCACTGTCAGCTTTACCAGATAGGCATTGCCAAATTTTTCCCTAAAGAGATACCAACTTGCAGCTAAACCTATAAATTAACTGTAACTTACCATACACGTGTGGCAGTTCCTGCTTCCTTATTACTCACCTGTGTGTGATAGCATCAGATTTTAAAACCTTTTAAAATTAATCAGGTGGGTGTGGATTAGGGTCTAGCTGTACTGATTTCACCTTTCTTCGGTGGTCTTTGAACTTGAACATCTCCTCAGGTTTGACCCTTAGTTAGGATTGCCCCCTTTCGTGAATTTTGTTAACTTTTTTTCCTGTTAGGTTGTTTGTCTTTCTTATTGATAGGAGATTGTGTTTACAAGCTCTTCTGAATATTAATCTTTTATGGGTTGAGTGCAAAGTACCTGTCTTTTCCAAGTTAGAGGAACTCAAACCCAGGTCCTCTTACTCTGATGCGTGTCCTCAACATTCTCTCATTGTTAAACCACATTAACTGGATGCTAAGAAGGAAAACTAATTGCCAGTAGTTCAACAAGACTATATTGCTAAATTTGTGCAGAAGTTTTTCTCCAAAGTAGTTGGGAAATTTTTAACAAATAACATTTTTAAGAGAATTTATACTTTAAGAAATAGACAAATTGCATGTTACTGTTAAATACTCAATAATTATGTTTATGAAATCTATTTGAGAAAAAGATAGCTTTTTGATAGTGGAAGCAAGTACTGAAAGTCTGACTGGTTTGTAAGTATGTTCATGTTTGGCCAGAATGGTAGAGTACTCTGTAACTTACTTCCTCTCAGCCTCCAGGCTTAGTGTGTTGAGGGTTTCTCTCTCCAAACCCTCGCACCCCCTCCAGGGGACACACCCTTGAATGTGGGTTTTTTTTTTTTTTTTTTAAGCTTTTGGTTCATTTGAATCCTTCCTTCTCGTTTAAGAAAAATGTGCCAGATTTTTCATTTTAAAAGTATGAGAGGAAAAATTATAGTAAAGCACAGATGCTAATAATAGTCAGGTGTTTCTCCTTAGCAGCCAGCTCTGGGCTGGTTTGTCGTGCTGCTAATTCTGGGCAGCCATGCACGTAAGCGTGGTCACCTAGCAACAGAAGCTGGGCGCAGTGCCAGTTCTGATGCAACAGTGTGTAAGGACCTGCAGTTAGAACAAAGGAGTTGCACACTGCCTCTCATTCCCTCCACCTCTTGTTATCATCTGAGCTTCTTTACTACCTGGGACCAGAATAAAAACTACTAAAGAAGTTCTCTCATTCACCTGAGTGGCTTAAACTAGAAAATCAAGAGTGGTAGAAAGAAGCCCAGAAGACTGCATTGCTCACTCACCCTTATTTGTTTCCAAGAAGAGCAAATAAGTTTTAGGGCATGAATATGGTCAGAGATACTTTAAATGGTTATTTGATTTTTCTCACTCATGTAGTGGGGGCCCATAGTCATAGTAAGTGTTAATGAAATAAATGTTTATGAAGGACAAAAATGCTGTAAACTTTAACAAGACTGAAGGATAGTTTTTTTTGTTTTTGTTTTTTTTTTTTTTTTTGTCTTTTTCATTTTCATCGGTACCAGGGATCATTGCAAGGCAGGCGCTTAGCGCTTATGCCGCTGAGCTAAATCCCCAGCCCCTGAAGGATAGTATTTAAATGTTAGACTCTTTAAAAGTTTCTAGGTGATCAACATCTTTTTGTTTGTTTGTTTGGAGATTAAACCCAGTGCCTTCACACTGAGCTCTATCTCCAACCCTTTTTATTTTTTATTTTAAGGTATGATCTGGCTAAGTAACTAAATTACCCAGGCTTGGGTTTGAACTTGTGATCTTCTTACCTCTGCCTTCCAGAGTGCTGGGATTACAGGTGTGCCATCATGTCTGGCTAATTTGCCATGTATATTAAGAAAAGTATTCAAGGAATTTTTTTTTGTTTGATCCGAACAGATACTGGTAGTGGCTTATTAAGTTCTGCCTTGATGAGTAATGCCATAATGTATAATGCGAAAAATTGTCTTCGGAAATGTATCTTCTAAAGTTGTTTCATATTTTCCTGTAGGATAGGTACCTGATAGTTTTGTTAGGGGTTGATGAGATTGGAGAATAACCACCAAATGGATAAGCAGAACTCTGGAGGTTGTGTTTGGGTTAAATGAAGTTAACAGATCTGGGAGGAACCTGTCTTAATTAGCCTCAGTGATTCTTGGATATAATATGCACTTAGACAACACAAGAATAGTAGGTGAATGCTTGAGTTTGTAATGCATTCTGTCATCTTCATGTATCCATTTCTATTCATGTGGATGGCCCTTTGGGGAATAAAATGAGACAGTGTAACATCTATCCTCTTTTGAGCCTCTGTTCTAATCCAGAAGATGAGCAAAATAGAACACTCCAGTGTTCTAGTTGTTGTAAGTAAACAGAAATAACTTGCTCAGAAGTATCAGTGACCGTTATAAAATTATATCTACAGAATCTGAGAGTCAGAAATGGAACTTGAGAACCTTGCACAAGCAGTCGAGGTTCTTCAGTGTTAGTGAGTGAACCATCCATTCAGTATGTGTAGGGTCCCTGATTCAGTCCCCAGCTGAGAAAGTCTGTGGTTTTGTCTGAATGATTCCAAATCCTGGTTACTGGCTGAATATCTAAAACAGAGTGGCTAGCTCTTTATGGAGCAGAACATTGTGCTTACTGTTGGAGAGGAGCCGTCTCCAGTATCGTGGTGATTGGGGATAGCTAGTTGTTTGTAGGCGCTGTTGGAGTTTCCTTACTATCTGATCTCCTGTGTCTAATAAAAATTCCTTATTGATGAGATGTATTTCAGCAGCAGTTGAGTAAGATTGTCATTTTATATCTAAATGATTTTATCTAGTTGGCTTGTATGTGGGTAAAGATGTAAATGCTAGAGGTTTATTGGGGGCAGTGCCTGTGAAAAATGAGGGGGTGGAAGTGAATGTGACCAAGGCCTTCAGATCCTGATGTGAATATGCATCTCCTGTGCTCTTGATGCTTTGGGTGTCCTTGTTATGTGGAAAACTGACATTGGCAGTTGTTTTAGAGCAAGTCTGAAAATCAGCACATTCATCTGAAAATGTGTTGTTTTCTTTCGTCTAGAACTGTGCTAGTTTCTTCATTCCTAAAGGATAATTGCTCTGGGTATAGAATTTCAGGAATAGTGCTCCGCCACCTTTTTTTTTTTAAACTTGAAAAATGTTGCACCACTTCTTTCTGAATTCCATGGTTTTTTGTTTGAGACCTCTGTGCTCACTGGAGCCACATTCTCTGGCTGCTTCCAAGATTTTTTGTTTTTAGGTTTCAGCACTTGACTGTGCAGTGTTTGGGTAGGATTTCTTTTTGGAGTACACTGAACTTCTTGAATCTGTAGGTTATTATCACTGGCAAACTTGGGAAGTGTTACTCAGGTATTAAAGCTTCTCATTTTACTTTTCTGATGATGTAAATGTTAGATCCTTTGTCTTTCTAGTAGGTTGTTGAGGCTGCTCATTAAACCTTTCTTGTGTTGTTTGAATGGCTCTTCACTGACTTTTCCCACTGCCTGTTTTCTCCTTTTCTGAGCCCATCCAAGGAAATTTTATTATTTTGGTTATTGTGTCTTCTAAATCTTCACTAATAAACCTTTTTGTCTTGTTTCAAGAATGCGAGTTTGCCTTTATTCTTGGGGTACTCTGAAGTCTTCTGAGAATGATTAGTATCTGTTGATATTCTTTTCCTGCGTAAGCTGAGATTTTCTTGTTTCTTTGTATGCTAAATAATTTTTCTTTGTACCTTCAACATTCTGATGGTTTTGTTTTGTTCTGTTTTGTTGATACAGGGTCTCACTATCTAGCCCAGGCTGGTCTCCAGTTTATGACAGTCCTGCCTCAGCCTGTCGAGTGCTGGGATTACAGGTGTGCACCACCACACCCAGCAATATTTTGAGTGTTAGGCTTTGGTACTCTTCATGTTGTGTAAATTCTGTGGAGAATGTTGTTGTGTTTCAGCAAGCTGTTGCCCTGATTGGATTCAGACCATAAGCACTGACTGCTCTTCTCTAGGTGGTTGTTTTCAGTGTCAGTTTCGTCTTGTGTGTACTGTAGCAGCCTACCTGACTTTTGTTCAGTTTCCAAGTCTATAGTATGCTGTTTAGGGTCAGCCCTGCACATGCATAGCTCAGGCTGCACAGGAGCACATACAGTGCTTTCTCACCAGATGGCAAACCCCTCTTCTCCCTCAGCCCTGACCTCTGTACTGCAGTTGTGGGGACACACCATGGCTTATTTAGTAGTCTTTTATTGATGGGCACACATGGTTTCTCCCCTCCATTCCCCATTACAGACAGCGGTGTACTGAGTGTGCTTTTACAGATCATCACTGTGTAATTCTGAAAATATTACTGTAGTTTGAGGCCTAGAAATTAGTTTACTCATTGTTTTCACAGAAGTTACATTAGCTCTGTATATTTTTCCTAAATACTTTGTAACGTCTACAGCCATACTACCCTAAATGTGCCCAATCTCATCTAAATACACTGTAAAGATATGTATTTTTATTCTTTGAGCACTAGTCCTTGTAGAGTTCACAAAGAAGCAATGAGCAAATTCCTTCTTGTGATAGTTTAGCTCAGTTGGAATTGGGTGCTTACTGAGAATATCTCTGAAATGTAGATCATTCCTTCCATTAGGTGGATGTTAATGATTCCTTTCTCTTTTTCAGAATTTTGATTCTGACATCAGCAGTGTGGGAATAGATGGCTGCTGGCAGGCAGACAGCCAGCGGCTTCTCAACGAGGTGATGGTGGAGCACTTCTTTCGACAGGGAATGCTGGATGTAGCCGAGGAGCTCTGCCAGGTATTAGGGCGCAACCTGGGGGACTGGAGCAGAAACAGGGCTGGGGGTGTGTGGCTCAGCGAGAGTGCACTTGCTCAGCTTGCAGGAGGCCTGGCTGTCATCCCCAGTGCTGCAGAAACAGTGACAAGGCCACCAGCAAACCGGAGCAGGGGAGGAGAGAGAAAGAAAGAGAAAAGAAAAAGAGAGGGAAGGAGAAAGTTTGAATTATTTACAGAGTGGAGAGAGCCTTCTACAAATAGATTTTTAGTATTTTAATTATTAGGGATTATTAAGAAATCTCTTTTTTTCCCCCCTTAAGTGGTAAAAATTGTGGTCCTAAAACTTACTATCTGAATTGTTTTTTTGCTGCTGGCCCAGTAAGCTGGTTATGAATCAAAGGGATCCCAAGTGGTGCATATAGCAGAGATAAGGAGAGGGACTGTAAACATTGTTCTTCTGATTTAGCCCAGTTTAAAGAAATTTATCAAATGAATTTCAGACTAAAATGTGTATCAAGCGAGTAGTGCTTCTGTATTTCCACTAGTGACAAGCACAGGGATCTCAAAACAGTTCACCAATATCTCATAGTCCTAATGGCAGCTGCTGGATACTGAAAGAGAAACAAATAACTAGCCCAAGGTGTGCAGGTTCGAAGGATCTGGGATTCAGTCCCCTGTTGATGTCTCCAAACTGTTCTATTTTAAACTATTCAAATGAATTAGTAAATTAGTAGCTAGGGCCCAGATAACAGTGGCTTAAACAAAAATGATGTGTGTTTTTCATTCACAGAAGCAGCAGGTAGTTGATAGGCCCACAGCACAGGTGGTAGCTCTGTCCCATGCAGCTCTTAAAGATAAATAATATTCCATGTAGCTCTGCTGTTTTTAGGGCCTTTGTATTCCAAGAAAGACAGAACGTGCATGTTTATACTTCATTGGCCAAGATTTACATCTTGGAAAGCATAACTCAGCTTTATTCCATGGGCATGGAGCCAGCTAAGATTTGGGGGTCCTAGTAGAGTAGTGCGGGAGGGCAGTCGTCAGTCTCCACCACAGAAACATATGTTAAATGGCTTGCCCCATAGTTTGTAATCTAGAGTACACTTTTACCACTGCATCTTTATTGGTTACTTATTGCTAACAAATGTTCTTTCTGCTTTTTCAGGAATCTGGTCTTTCTGTAGACCCAAGTCAGAAGGAACCATTTGTGGAATTAAATAGAATATTAGAAGCATTAAAAGTCAGAGTTCTGAGACCTGCTCTGGAGTGAGTTACTGAGTTTTTCTTTTGGCTATTTATGCGAGAACTCTCTAAGAAAACCCACTTAGAAAACACATTAAAGATCTTTAGATATGTTTATCTTACTCTTGATTTAGAGAAATCACAGGAGGATTAGTTTCTTTTAGCCAAATGAAATATGGGGAAGTGCAATATGAGAAAATTGTATGGCTTATTTAACTTCCCAGTCAGTCTGAGTTCCCACGAGAGAAGAGGGTTTCCGACGTCCCCGCTGTCCCACCGCTCTGCACCCTGGAGTTGTAACTGAGGCACTGTTCTTCAGGCGGCACTGGTCTGATATCCGAGCTCCCATAATGTGCTAGCATTTGAAGACGCGATTGAGTTGTTGTTTGAACTAAGTGGTATGCATGAAGACTGCAAATACTGTACAAAGGCGCTCTGTTCTTTGTTACTGTAGATGGTGATGATTCATTCTGAACCCATCGATACAGTTACCTGAAATTACTGAGTAGACTGTAATAAATGTTATCCTAGAGAGGGGTAGCAAATTTTTTTGTAAAGTGTGAAATAGTAAGTATTTTAGGGTTCGCAGACTAAGGTGTCACATGTATTTGTTTTATTTTTTAACCCTTTAAAAATGTAAAAGGTCATGCAAAGCAAGCAGCAAGCCGCACTGTACCCATGCCATGGATCTGACTCCTTTGGTAATGTTTCAGTGTGAGATTACCAGGACATATGGAATATATAGCTCACAAAATAAAGAAAATAAATTGGATGCTAGAAGCAGTGCAAGGGTATAACCTTAGAATCCTGGTGTTAGAAAATGGAAAAATTGCTGGGCAAGGTGGCCCACACCTGTGATCCTAGCACTTAGGAGGCTGAGGCAGAAAGAAAATTACCTTGAGTTTTAGGTGTCTGGGCTACATGGTCTCTAAGTCCAGCCTGAACTACATGGCAAGACCTTGTCTGGGGGTGGGGGTGGGTGTGGGCGACAGAAGGAAGGAAAAGTTGAGCTGGGTGTGGTGGTGCATACCTAAAATCCCACCTTGGGAGGTTGAGGCAGGAAGATCAAAGTGAGTTTGAGGCCAGCCTGGGCTACTCAGCCTGCACTGCATAGGGAAACCCTGTCTCAAAACAAAACAAAACAAAACAAAAAAAACTTGAGTTGAGTTTGCAAAATCTTTCCCTATAAAGGCTGCTTCAGAATATAGTCCTGCCACATACAGCGAGGGTTGTTTCACGTCTGTGTCACCAGTTGATCCTTTTCTTCCTCCTCCTCTTCCTCCCCCATTTCCTCCTTACTCTGTTTCTCCGTAATCTTGGTGGAGGAAGAGCAGCATCTCTTATTTTCAGTTTACATTTATCTTATGAAGTTAAGTTTCATCTTCTCTAAGTGGGCTCACACCTTCATCTGGCAGGGTCCAGGGCTGTAGGCCTCTGGCCTGGATTAATGGTCTTTTCATACCAAGAGCCATCTTCATGTAGAGGGATCACCACTGAGGTATGTGGCCACCGTAGACCACAGAATTTTTCCCAGGCGGCTTGGTGAGTATTTCACCATCATCTCTGGGAAAGCTCGCAGCACTTTTTCAAACAGTTTGTAGTTGTGTTTGCAAACACCTCGATGGGATGCCTTATGGAACAGAAAATAACTGAATGGTTGTAGAAAAGAAGGGGGAAAGGTTACAGGTTTTTGCAGAAGAGAAAAAACAAAGCCAAAACCAAAGAAGAGACTCAGATGGAACAGGCTAAAAACAGTGCCCGGGAGGCAGCTGAAGTTTGTGGAAGTCCCTCTCCAAGGCCAGACATTAGGTGAGGATTGGAAATCCAGAGGGGTGGCAGGGCTGCTGTCATTGTGGTTTGGTGGAGTGTGTGACCAATGGTTCCGAGGGTGAGAAAATGGTTGTACGGCTCAAGAGCAATTGCACTTCAGTGAATAAAATATGGTTTATAAGAGGCAAACAGTTACAGAAAATGAAAGCAGAGAAAGCAGTCACCAAGTACCTGCTCGTGGAGCTTTGACTGTCACTGGAAATGAGAGTGGCACTGACCAAGCAGTCTCTGGTGTCTGCTCTCTTGTTCTTAGCTGTGGCTTCTCGTAGGTGGGCACTTTTCCTGCCTCAGGCATTGTTTGATAGCCACAGAACCATCGAGGAAGTGAGGCCTGGGTAGGGGCCAGTGGAGAAGGGCAGTCACAGCTTCAGCAAATCAGAGTTTGTTTCCCTAGAGTTTAATTTTCTCCCTCCATCCGATTCATTCACCTTTGAAAAAACAGGAGAGTTGATCATTTTGTAACTCATTCGGCCTGTGCACTTAGCCTGATAGAGAAAAGTACCTCTAGTAAAGAGAAGCTAATTAAAAATGTGAAGACACCCAGCAGGAATGATCCAGAAGAGAAGGGAACACAGTGGACCTGCGAGGCCAGAGGAGGGGGAACACTTGGAGAAGCACCCTGGTTTCTCGTCTGTTCTGCATTTACTGCTTGTGAAAGTACGTAGGAAGTTCCAGGACTATAGATACTCCTCCGGAGAAAGAGTCTACATTTTCTGAATGTTACTTTTATCAAGGGCTCCTCCATGTCGTAACTAAGTAGGTGCCTGAGCAGTTACTAGAGAAATTAAAAACGAGAGAAAAAATTTAAATTTCCCTGAAGTGAAGTGTTTAAAAGCATGCAGAGCTAAACCTGCTGACAGTTACTGTTATTTATTAGGTTTGTAAAAACCTCTTATAAGTTTTAAGTACTTTTTATCACCAGTGTATATAGCTATGCTATATAATATGGTAATCAATTACCCCGAATAGCTATTGGCCACCCTTACTAGTGTCTGCATTGCTGAGAACCTTGTGTAACATGGGTGTGGGTGTGTGCAAGTAGATTAAACTGTTCTGTGTGGTTATCTACCAGAATGTGTGGCACACACCTGTAGTCCCAGCACTCGGGAGGCTGAGGCTGGAGGATCACTGTAAATTTGAGGTCATCTGGGCTACATGTGCATTCAAGCTGAACTGCATAGTGAGACTGTGTCTCAAAATAAATGGAACACATAAGAAAAAGACTCACATCTACTCTGAGGTAGTAATATCTTCCAATGGTGGACTCAACCCATTTCTTAGAAGTTAGGCGGAAATATTTTGGCCATGAAATGTTAGCTATCTTTTTCTGTTTCTAAAACAAAGTTTAGGGTTCTTAATCCTAGGTTGCAGTTGGATTATAGGATTTTTTTTGTTTGCTATTCTCTGAAATTTTTAGGCATTTTATTCAAATAGCTGTCATGTCCCACCAAGTCTATATTTGTAGTTTTAAGTGTTGCTCATTCTCTTGAACATGAACTTTTATCTCCAAGAGACTAGAAGATGTTTTACTAAAAGAGATGAGAAAGGGAAGGTTTTTATGAGCCTTTAAAATTACTGTGAAAGAGCTGGGGATGGTAGCATATGCCTGTAATCCCTTACTCAGGAAGCTGAGGTAGGAGGATTTCAATTTCGAGACTAACATACTCAATTTAATGAGACTGTGTCTCAAAAAGGACAAGGATGTAGCTAAGCAGGCCCTGGATTCAATCCATAATACCGGGGGAAAAAAGTCTATGAAAGGTTGTAGTTGAGTGTGCTGTGAGACTTGTCAAGAGGTATTTTCTTTGAGAATTACCAGAAATAGATACCTACCCAGACTAGCAGAATTGTAAGAGTAGAGAGATAAACAGACTAATGCTGGTCACTTAGTCACTTTGGGAGAGAACAGCCAACAGGAAAAGTAAAATCATTATTTTTGGAATGATACGGAAACTCTAAACATGCTCCAGGTAATGCCAAGTCTTCTCAGCACCCTGACAGAATAATTAATGCTTATGTTTCTGTTGTATAATTGTCAGTGTGGGTTGCTTCAGCTTAGACACCTAAGTTAAGTAGTATTGTTTTGGGGTCTGTTTGTGGAAGGAGCCCCAGAAGTTCCCTCCCTTGAGCCGGTGGTGGCGGGGACCAAAGGAATGTGACATTGCTGATCTTGCTGAATGTTGTGCTGTTCTATCTCCAGTGTTTTCCTAAGTAGGGGTAATTGCAGATCTCTTACATTGGTGATCTGGAAGTGGAATTTTAGAAAGTTAGCAGAGTTAGTAAGTGAGTGTGTTTAGTTAGCTTACTGTTTGGTATAGTAGAGATGTTTTTGTCATTGAAAGTCAGAAGTCTCATGCTGGAAATGCTATTATCCAGAACATGGTACTCTTTCCTAATACTTCATAATCTTGTTGTTTGACTTACATGTTTTTGGTGCTTTGTTGACTACTAGGATGCTAACATAGTTTTATGCTTCTGTAATTTTGACTGCCTGGTAGTCTTTGAATTTGATTGTTATCAGGTTAAGATTATAGTTGTCTAGCTGAGTGTGGTGGCACATGCCTGTAATGCTTGGAAGGCTGAGGCAGGAGGATCATCATGGGTTTGAGGCCAGCCTGCCTCAGCCTGAACTGCATAATGAGACTGTCTCAAAAAAATTATGTATATATAATTTTGTGTGTGTGTGTGTGTGTGTGTGTATAATGATCTTTTTCTTGTTCTGCTCAGTGAATCAAATTCCTGGATATTCATTTTGTTTATTTGTTTTTAACATAGTCCAGGCTGACCTCAAACTCTCAGCAAACTATCTGCCTCAGCTTCCTGAGTGCAGGAATTAGAGGCATGTGCTGCCATGCCCGGCTCATTTTTAGTTTTCTAGCTAAGAGAACTTGAAAAATTTTGAAGATCAATGAATGCATGCATGTAGTTCTATTCCAAGATAGTTGACACTATAAAAATCAGAGTAACTTTCAGAATTATATGGAAGTACGCAAATAATTGTCATGTTTTAAATATAATTTCCTTATTCAAAACAGGATAGTGAAGAACTTGCAGTTCATCATTCCTTAAACATTTGAGATGCTTATTAAATGTCTGTTCTGCGTACTCAAGGTTATAAAAGTGGGTAACTGAAAGAGGGATCTGGGCATCAAGGGAAATTGGATATAATTAAAACAATCTGAGAACAAATGACAGTAAAATGAAGCCAGGACAAGACCTCAGCCTATAGGAAGCTAAAGCACATGCTTTGTGACCATAAAAATCAAGATAAGGTGCTCCATGCTCTTTCCATTCAGAGTGCACTGTGAGCAGAATGCTGCTGGTGGCTTCCATGGAGCATTCGCTTCCCCTTCGGAGCCCTTTTTAGAAAACAGAACACCAGTTTGACAGTATTGAGGCGAAGTATTGAAGTTGCTTCTATTGAAAGAAGACAGTGCTATAAATACAAGGATTGAAGAGAGAACTGTACAACGAGTGAAAAAGCGTCTCATCAGCTCAGAATCATCATGGAGTCACTGATGTTAAGCCGCAGGGGAGCTGCTGCCGTGGGTGAGAGGGCGGCCAGGAGATGGGTGCCTGAGTCCAGCCGTCAGTTCAGGCAGCATCTGAAGAAGGCAGCCTGACGAGAACTGAACCAGGAAAGGTGTGGAGTACAAAGTGGAGATTGAAGGGCCTGAGGACCTTATTAAAAGGCAACACAGAAAATGTCTTTAAATGAAAACCTGTACTGTCTGGCTAGTTAACTGTACCGGGGGTCAGGAAAACAGATGTGGGCTCATGGGTACAAGCCTGAGGAGGTGACAGGGAGGTCCGTCCTAACAGCAAGCTTAGCCTTAAATGTGGTTCAGTGTGCTGTGGCCGTGGGGTAGACACAGGGTGTTTCATCTTCAGATTAGACAATGGTATTTTGCTAGGAAAGGAAAAGCTTGGAAATCTCTTCTGCCATAAGAGATTTTTTTTTTTTTTTTTTTTTTTTTAGGTACTCAGAAGGTAAAGACAGCTGTTTCTAATTAGAATAAGAGACATGACTTTAGGCAATGTGAGGGTCTGACGTGTGTGATTCAGTGTCACAGTGCTTCCCTGACATTTTTGGGTTTTTGTGATGCCCTCCCCTCCTTCCCAGTTCCTTTTTTTTTTTTTTTTTTTGGTTCCTTGAGAACGGGTTTTACTGTGTAGTCCAGGCTGGCCTTTGACTCACTATGTAGCCCAAGATGGCCCAACTCATAGTGATCCTCCTGCCTCAGCCTCCTGAGTGCTGAGATTATAGGTGTGCACCATCATGCCTGGCTCTTCCAGTTCCTTTGTATGGTTGTCTTTTTATTTTTCTAAACATTTATTCTAATTATTGCTACTTTTTGATGCTACTTTTTTCTAATTATTTCATAACCTTGTAGGAAACTTTGAAAGTTTGTAAAAATAAATTCAAATAATAAATTAAGAATTGCATTGTCTAAATGTTTGTTCATTTTTTTTTTTTAAAGGAACATGGGTATTTAACTTGCCACACTCAAATTGATAATTTAGAGCTTAAATTACCAGGAAAAGTAATTAGTAATTATTCAGACCTTTGAGTAAAAAAAAAAAAGAGGCTAAGAAATTGTGCTTGTTCATTAGCATAATGATTTTCCTATTGCAAAATATAAAGTACCGTGTTCATCATCATCATGGAAAGCGTCAGCAAGCGTGGACTGCTTTAGAAATGGCTGTGCTGCCCACTGCCCCTCCAGCTGGTGGTCTCTCAGGTGGCCTCTTAGTGATTCAGCCACCCCCTTTCGTCCCCTCAATGTGGTATAATAGCCCTGCCCATACTGTAGCAATTCATAAGTGATTCTTGAAATCCAGTTTCCTCAGAGCGATTATTCCTAATTGTCCAGCATCTAAAAGTTCTTTCCTATATGTCACATTCTACCCCCCCACTCAACCTAAGTCCTAGACATTCTCTTATGGAAATAAAAAGTTACTCTGTAGGTACCTACAAGTGGCTTTGTCCCTTTGTTGAATTGGCTTTAATTTTTATTAAAATTGGTAATTACTTTTTAATTCCTTTGCTTGATGTTGCAAACGCTTGCATACATTCTTTATATCAGAAACAAGAAGATTATTGCCGCTCCTTACATGTTAGCAGGTACACTGGTTCTGTGGTGAGTGGAGGGCATAGGATAAGCTTCTGTAGTAGCCGGATTTAAATGCCTTCCTTGGAGCCAGGAGTCCAGAAGGTGCCTCGCAGAGTAGGACACCTGGTTCCTTTGGCAGCAATAGTGGCTGAAGGACATTCACAGAGAATGGGGTCCTGTGCCATGTTGCTGTCAGCAGGTTCCTCAGACTTGGTGTTGCAGCCTGATGACACTTGATGTGCCAGGAAAGGACCCTTGACTTAATTAAATTTAAATATTTTCAAGATCCATATTATTAATCACACACCTTTGATGTCGGAGAAGTGTAATGATTTGAGCATGAAATTAGGCACATCAGCAGAGGGAGAAGACATTGCAACCCAGTTTTGGGGAAAGGTGGGATCCAGAAAAGTGGTAACTCCTTGAAGCCTGATCCTAGCCAGCTGTTTCATTATGGATAACTTGAAATATTTCACTCTTGTAGCTTGTGGAGCTGCTCAGAATTTATATATATATGGGGTCAGAGATAGAGCTCAGTGACAGAGCACCTGGCAAATGTGAGGTCCTGAGTTTGATTCCTGGTACCTTCCCAAAAAAGAATTTATATTCATATCAAGTTGATTCCAGTGGTCTTCGGTGAATTGGGCTAGCTGGAGAATGTTTGTCCAGCAGAGTCAATTTAAAATGTAAGATGCTAATAACTTCTATATTTGAATATTTTAGAGAAATAATACTTCTCTATCACTTAATTACAGAATTTGATTGTGACAGCTGGTTGGGATATTTTTCTGCTTTACTGCCCCCCTGATCTCGTAGTCTTAGCTCAAGATGGATTATTCCAGCTGTTCAGCTTGTTGAGGCCTAAGCCACTATACTTTGGATCATTCAGAACCGAGTAATGTTCTTTCCCTTGTTAATACTATTCACTAACTTTTTGGTGTGGGGAAGATACTCTGTGTAGTTTTGTCTTCCTGGTATGCTTGAAAGCACTTTGAGAGGAAGCATTTTTAATTCCAGAGTGATCAGTACAAAATCTTTCAGCTATTGAAAGTTTAAAAACAAGTGATTTTCTTGCAGAATCTTTATAAACAAGCCATATGGTATTGGACATGGAACCCAGGGCCTTGTGCATGCTCTGTGAGCTCTGTACCTACACACCCAGCCCAGCAGGTCAGTTTAGGGGGGAAGAGCAGTGGGCCTGCCCTGGGGGGCAGGTCCTGCATCTCCTGGCTGACACCTGCTTCAGAATATGGTCCTGTTGAAATCCAGTTGCATCAAGGCGGTCATCACTATTGATTGAAAACTTTGCCAAATAAGTGCTATTACCTAGAACCTGTAAGTGGAGTTTGTTAAACTTGCTTTCTTCACAAGTCTCTGCAGAGGGGTTGATGTAACCACAGCCTTCCACGAGATGGCAGGCCAAACCCTGTTTTGCATTACTGTGTTTCCAGTGATTTTAGATGCACCTTGATTGTATTCTTGATTATTGTTAACATTTTCTTGCTTTTTTTTTTTTTTTTTTTTTAAGATGGGCAGTATCAAACCGAGAAATGCTGATAGCACAAAACAGCTCTTTGGAATTTAAGCTACACCGACTCTATTTTATTAGCTTGTTAATGGGTGGAACCACAAATCAGCGAGAGGCTTTGCAGTATGCTAAGAATTTCCAGCCATTTGCCCTCAATCATCAAAAAGGTGAGTCTAGAGTCAGATGTCACAATGCTTGGAATAGATGTCATCACCTGTGAAGTTTAGTTTATCTTAACTACATTTAATGTACATATTTGCTAATGAACTAAAACAACTATGGGTGGCAGTCACATCCAAAAGAATTGTAACTGGCTGTGAAACAATAACAAAACATTAAAGTCTCTGAAATGAAAAGCTTGAAAGAGACATTATATATTGGGAGGTTTCCTGTTAAACTCAGAGAAAACTAAGAAAGAAAGATTATATCGTGCTAGGAATAAGAGTAGAACACTTGCTGAGTGTGGCTGTGCATACCTGTAATCCCACCACATGAGAGGCTGAGGCACGAGGATCAGTCTGAGTTCTAGGCCATTTTGAACTATATAGTGGGACTCTATCTCAAAAAAACAAACAAAAGAAAAACACTGTAAGTTGAGTCTTTTGCCTTGAACTCACAATGACCTCCTGTCTTACCCGCCCCCTGAGTGCCGGGATTACAGGCACACATCACCACACCTGAGTTGGAAGGGAAGCTCAGTAGTTTCAGTGCTTTTTACTCCCCTTTTCTCTCTACTGTTTTTTAATTTAGGGTGAAGGATTCTGAAACCAGGCTTATGGGCTGGAATATATACATTATGTAGGCTAGTCAGTTAAGGTGGGGTGTTTTTGCCTTTTTCAGCCTGTTTCCCTGAGTAAACTGTTTCAGGTGTGATTAGCCACACCTCCAAATTGGGGGTGCCTTTTCATTTAGATATCCAGGTATTGATGGGAAGCCTCGTGTACCTGAGACAAGGAATTGAGAACTCTCCGTACGTCCACCTGCTCGATGCAAACCAGTGGGCTGACATCTGTGACATCTTTACTCGGGATGCCTGTGCCCTCCTGGGGCTCTCTGTGGAGTCCCCTCTCAGCGTCAGGTATGGAAGCACACCCTGTCAGTGAGTGGACTGTGACTCTATCTGGAAACTCCTCTTAACTAGTCTTGACCATGAAAGCCAAGTTTGTTTTTTTGTGAGAAGCTGTGGCAGGTGGCATTTGGCAGTGACTCGGCATTAGGGAGATGGTAGCCAAAGCACATGAGCCTCATGTGTCCTGAGAGCCTGTGCTGCACCGCTCAGTGGGCACAGATGGTGCTGTGACAGTGGGGGCTGCATGCTGGTGCCATGGCATGGGGCGGCCTCCACACACACTCGCCGTTTCCCTCACTGCCACGTACCTGCGCTGTTAAGAGGTGCTGTACTTCCCAGTGCCCTTGTGAGGCATCATAAATTCTAGTGAGTTCTGACCTTTGAGTACTCATCGTTTTAATACTCTGATAGGAAGTTTGCATAAAGTACTTGGGCTTTGTGCTTGTGTATGGTGACTGCAAGACTAAGCTAAAATTGAAAGTTTTGAAACCTCATATGCTTAGTTGTGAGCTCGTCATCTTCGCTTTACATGATGACTCTTCTGATGAGATTGGTGGTAGTATCAGATTTTATTTTTGTGGGTATTACAGAGTGAAATATTTGGGAGGTCTTAATTCAGTATGATTTTACAAAAGGATGGATGGCAGAGTTATTCAGAGTATGAATCAGACCAATGGATTGCAGTATAGCAGGGCAACAGAATTCAGTTTTCACTTTGCAGCCAACCTTTAGGAATCTGCTAAAAGCATTAGTGTGGTATTAAAGAACATCTGCAGGGGCTGGGGATTTAGCTCAGCGGCATAAGCGCCTGCCATGCAAGCAGGCAGTCATGAGTTCGATCCCTGGTACCGATAATTCTGTGGCAAAGCAGTTAAAGTACTATGTATCTGTGTGAGGATATATTTTTTCTTTTACTTCAGCCAAAAGAACCATACTGCAACAGATCAAATACAAATTAGGTTACAAGAATCTAGCTGCCTTTATTAATAAACATAAAGACTGTGCCACTCTTATTACAAATGTATTTTCATTTTGAAAAGCATAGTTTTTTTAAAAAAAATGTTAGTTATGATGTAGCGTGTTTTTAATTTTTAAGTGAATTAATCAGTACCATTTCTGGTACACGGTACATTTCTGTTATGAAAACAAGTGGAGAGTTACTGGGTGCGGCTGATGACGGGGCTGTCTTCAGCTGAGGACAGGCCTGAGGGGCAAGGCCGAGGGCTGTACCCCTTCCAGATCTGAAAAATGGGTGGTTTTTAAGGTGTTTTCTTTCTTTTTTTAAATTTTTTAACTTCATTTCTTCCATATTGGTGAGGTTTATTTAGTAAATGTAGACCTTTGCTTTTAAGCAAGGATTGTTTTCTTTTTCAGTAGCTACATAAAATATACCAGTGGGACTGGGGAACAGGGAAGGGAAAAACCTGTTATTTTTCCTCTAGTGGAAAGTGGCCCCGTTTGCTTTTAGGAGAGCAGAAGGCTCTGTGCCCTGTCCAGGGGCCAGGACTGCAGTGCAGGACATCTGGTGACCACTCGGCCCAACACCTGGCTGGCACTGACCGTCCTCTTCCCTCCCAGTTTCTCAGCAGGTTGCGTGGCGCTGCCAGCTCTAATTAACATCAAAGCTGTGATTGAACAGAGGCAGTGCACTGGAGTTTGGAACCAAAAAGACGAATTGCCTGTGAGTGCATTTTCTGTTGACTGTTTACGTTTCCTGCATACAAAGAGACCATGTTTGAAGGGTTTAAAACGTCCGTCTTTTAACCAGGAAACACCATGGAGGCCATTTGGCAGTGTTTTGTTTGTTTGTTTGTTTAAGTGTATGCAGGCATGGATTAAAACTAGATGAGGGGTTAAGGGGTGGAGCTCAGTAATACAGTGAATCCTTTATTATAAGATGCTGAGTTTCATCCCCAGCACTGTACCCACCCCTGCCACCCCAAATAAAAGAACTGAAAAGCATGGTACATTTTGGAGACCCTGGAGGAATATTCTAAAATTTTTCGCTTAAAGTGACAATGAAATCCAATAAAGAAAACCTCAGTAGTGAGGAAGGTCCATACATATCGTAGCACACAGGGCATTCTGGAATACAGTACAGAGACCCTTATACTGTTGTTTTCTTCACTGTAAAAAGCAGTTAAGCAGTTTAACTGGATTTAGTTTTGTCTGATGCATTGGTGTTGATGCCGTCATGCATTCATGCTGATGCTTTTCTCATGCCAACGTGAAAAAGTACCTAGGTGTTTCAGAGTAAAGATCATCCCTATAGCATCTGCAGTCAGCTGTGACCTCCAGTCCCACGTGTCACTGCTGTCCTGGGAAGCACCACAGCTTTAATTGTTACATCAGCCACCCTTCTAGACAGTTTCATCTCTAAAATAAGGGCCATCAGGCACACTGTGTTAGTGCGGCTAGGGTGTGGGGTGTGTGCTACTTTTGGAATTGTCCTCCTCCTCGTGTTCCTGGCCTATGAAGAGGCTGAGACGTGAGTTTAGGTTCTTCCTCTTTTCTGCCACACTTGGTCACAAGTTTGTCTGCAGTTCCCTTCCTCTTCCAGCTGGCAAACTTAGCAGTTGGTTACTCCAGCTTCTCCTTGCTGTGGTTAAAGACAAGGTGCCTTCCTGTCCCCGAGTGTGGTCAGGACGCAGGCAGCACCCACTCCAGCACAGCTACTTTGAGCAAGGTTAAAGACCTTGAGCTCTCATGCCTGTTGAGGCAGGGACCTGGCATCTGGCAGTGCCAGACGCTGTGTGCTGCGGTGCTGCTGAGCACAAGAACAGAGCGGCCTGAATTGCAGGTTAACCCGAAGTCTGCATGTCACCTTTGTTCTGTTAGAGTCTTGTCAACTGTCCCGAAAGAGCCTTGGTGATAGAGTTTTATACTGGTTGTAAATTTAAAAATTTAGAAGGAACTCTGGCATGGGCCAGCTGCCCTGCTAGATGATTTCTCGGCTTCCATATGACTTATTTACTTCGCAGCAAATAGAAACAATGGAAACAGGTACTATGGACTTCTATATACAGGTTGCAAAAGGCCCTTTTGGAAGATGTTTTACTGCCTTGTTTCTGGTGGTTTCTCAGGACCATTACACTCAAACATGGAAATCTCAGATCTGAAGCACACATAGATGTAAACCATGTCTTTAAAGGAATTACTTGTTGGGCATGGTGGTGCATGCATATAATCCCAGTACTTAGGAGATTGAGGCAAGAGGGTGGCTGTGTTTGAGGCCATCGTGAACTACATAGAGACCCTACCTCAAATAAATCAATAAATAAAAATAATTTAAAAAGAGCAGTTTATTTCACTGCTTTCATCACCGAGCTAAGTGTACTGTAGAATAGGTTTGGAGGCGTTCACAGCATCACCCTATAGCAGTATGTGTGCAGCCATGTTTATATAACAAAATTCACAGTTGCTAGGCTTTGGAAACAGCCTACATGCTATATGCCCAGCCCTGGAAAATAATGTTAGGCGAAATAAGTTAGATGCAGAAAGTTAAATATTGCCTAATTTTTCTTATGTGAGAATTAGGCAGCTAGGGAGGGTAGATGGTAGGGGGGTCAGAAACAATGAAGATACTACATTCTTCTACCAGTTCCCCAAAACAAACCTGTTTTATTGTTCATTTAAAACAACAAAAGAGAGTTTCTGGTGATTTTGTGGCTGATTATACCCTGAGGAATTTTCAGGAGTGTGTCTGGAGGTTTTCTGAAATGTTACTAACCTTTGCACTTTTTCTCTTCGAGCAGATTGAAGTTGACCTTGGTAAAAAGTGCTGGTATCACTCGATATTTGCCTGTCCCATCCTTCGTCAGCAAACAACAGATAACAACCCACCCATGAAACTGGTTTGTGGCCATATAATATCAAGGGATGCCCTGAATAAAATGTTTAACGGTAGCAAGTAAGTGTCAGAATTTCTAAATGTTGCTGAGTGAATCTTTTGGAACTGAGTGGGAGAAGTTGCAGTGAGAAGTGGATGTGGATAGATTTAGGAGTAGCTAAATCTTTGCTGGTTGTAAAATGAATAGCATCTCATCTTTAGTCAGCAAATCTGCTTTGTACATAGGTGAGATCTCTAAGCGTGATCTGTAGCTCAACTTCTGGAGTGACTGACTGCATCTGTTCCCTGTACTTAGCATTTTTCACTGGTAATTTGTCTTGGGGGGAGGTGCTTTAAAACTATAGAATATTTCACTACATGAAAATGTATTTAAGGTTTTTTTTTTTTAAACAGGGTCTCGTTCTGTAGTTTAAGCTGGCTGTGAACTTGTTGTTAACCCCAGGCTGGCCCCTTGTTGTGATCCTCCTGCCTCAGCCTCCTAAATGCTGGGGTTACAGGTGTCTGCCACTATGCTACTGTAGAAGGCAGACAGAGTAGCAATCTCAGTTGAGACCATGCTGGTTTCTTTTTTTTTTTTTTTTTTTTTTTGGTACCAGGGATTGAACTCATGACTGCCTGCTTACCAGGCAAGTGCTTATGCCGATGAGCTAACTCCCCTGCCCATGCTGGTTTCTTATGCCACAAATGAGATATGCAGGACATTCTTGGTGTGGTATATCTGGCATGTGATTTGCTATCCTTGCATGGAATGTGTTGCCTATGCATTTGATATTTATTTAGAGGCTGGTGCACCGTAAAGTTTAGAGAAGAAAAACTGGATCTGAAGCAATTTTCAAAAAAGTTGTCTTTGTTTACAAAACAAGTTTCATGATTTCCCCAGAAGGATAGCGTTTATTTGTGAATCTTCACTGCTTAGCAGTTATATTAAGAGAAAGCATGGTTAATCCTCTGAGCAAAATACTGATGCATACGCTGTTTGTATAAATTGTTAAAGATATTCTATGACTAGATGAAAACAGAGTGCTTAGTGAGGATCCTATTCCTTGTTGAGAACTTTTCTGTCTTCTTTTCAGATTAAAATGTCCATATTGTCCAATGGAACAAAGCCCAGGAGATGCCAAACAGATATTTTTCTGAAGAATTGAATTTCGTTTGTTGATTTGTAAGTGAACTGAATTGTGGGTACGTTTCAGAAGAGAGAGTGGCATTGAGAGCCGCTAGCCGAGGACTCCCGTGTTATATCAGCTACCGCTGCAGGAACTCTGCCAACACACGAGAGTGCACACCGAGGGAGGTGCCCCCGACGAGCGTTACCATAGGGCTTTCTTCTACTCTTGGTCTTCATTTCTGATCAAGTAAATACACCAGCAGTCGTCGTCATTCAGTGCAGGTTTTTGTACTTAATTCTATGGTGATTTTTTTACTTCTTGAGAGCAGAAACAGAAATTGACCTTCCCTCCATGTGTTTAATAGTCCTGCTTTTACTTTTGTCATTTTCTTGGTAATTGTAAGCCTTGAGAGCATCTGTGCAAGCCTTGAGAGCTTTCTTTCTTGCTATTTACATGTAATTAACTGAAAACTTCTTGAGAGAAAGTTTGAACAAATTGAATTGTGGTTGTAAAAATAATTTGCATTCCTGGTTTTGCTTAAGGAAGAAAGCTGTGACAGATTCCAAATTTGCTTTTTGCTGTTTTCCTCTGCATCAGCTCTTGCTGAGAAATCAACACACCTGCATTTGAGCTCAGCTCATAGCCCCAGCAGGCTGCCTATTTAAAATTCTGTCATGAATTTATTAGCAGGCTGGTGTGAGAAGACTTCTGCTAGAATTGAATGGAAGGGATATTACTGGGTTTTTTGCTTTTATTACCAAGAGGTGCTTGCTTTAAGTGTGTTCAATAAAATGAAATTCTGAAGTTAGAAGTGTTTTTAAGTTGCTATACGCTCTCTTGGTCTTGGTAGACCTGTGCTTTGAAATCTGCCTTCCAGACCTGGCTGGCTGTCACGTGTGTATCATTGCAGACACAGTGTCGTGCATGTGAATATACAGATCTGTGCACCAGCATCACACATTGTATATCTGGAAGGGAAATGCATGTTTCATTCCTAAAATGCAGTTACCATATCCATCACTTTAAGTCCTTAAAGTTAGAAGCTAGCAACCTTTCTTTAGTGCACAATATGTTTCTTGCAGTTTTTGTATTTGATTAGTATACTTACTGTTCAATGCCTCTCTTCTGCAAATCTTGTCATCTCATTGACTGTGAATCTGTATATTACTCAAATGGATATGGATAAATGATCTTTTTTTGCTGAAGTATCTTCACTTAATGCACTGTCCAGAAAGAGCCATGTGAAAGACTTTCTCCGTATGAGGAACGACATGGAAAAAACCTCAGTGGACGTAATTCTGACTTTGAAGACCCATGAAGTTACTTCATCATGAGAAAAATGTTGCGTGGAAACCACCAAATATTTTGTAACTTTATTTCATCTGACACGGGACGGAATATCAATATAGGAATACTTTCATGCAAAAATGAAAGCCGAAGTGTGCCACTTTTAGGCCACAGAGGGACTTAGTTTAAGGGGCAGGGGATGGTTGACAGATTTGGTGCTAAGTTAATTGCAAATTGGCAACATTCACAGTCACCGACCCAGATGGTTTATCTTGTGTGTTTACCTGGGAGAACTGGGGTTTGTTGGGAAGAAAAAGGGTACTGCAGAAACTCCCTGCGTGAGTACCGCATGCTCGTTCATATTGATGGCTACTGGGTGCTGTGTAGGTTTGCCAGGAATCTCGATTTTTCCCAGGTCAGTGTGCAGGCTTTGTCCAGACTCAGTCTGGTCCCACAGTGACCTCTGCTTCACTGTTGGAACCATCTATAAAGTTCCTCTGTACCAAAGCAGTGAAGGAAGGGACTAAGACAAGCTCCTGGACTGCAAAAGAGAAAGGAGAGGGTGCCAGACAGTACTCTGTTGAGGGTATAAACTGGTTTACTTACTTTCTCCTTTGAATTAAATTCTAGAGTACTTTGTTTTTGTTTTGTTTTTTAATCTCTTTCTCCCTAGGCCAAGCTTAGCTTTATTCACATCTTATTCTTACCTTTCCACCTCAAGTATCTACCCAACCATTAGGCTTCATGGAATTTGGGCAATACAGATGCGCTCTAGAGGCTGGTGGTAAATATTTTTGGCAGCAAGACCTTTCACACAGTTGGCTCAGGCTACTTTTCAGAATAAAGGCCAGAGCTCTGCTTTAGCCCGCTCTCAGTGTTGGGAATCCTCTTAACAATTTTCATGAAACTTTACAAAGAACATGCTGTGTAGCGTTGGACTTTACAGCTTGCTGGATAAGGTCCTTGTGCACTACACTGGGCAGGAAGAGGGCCAGAAACTGGAAACTCTTGGCCTGGTAATTTACCGTGAAAATTTTGTCTTGTAACCTTCAAGCGAAAGGACACTTAAACTATATCAGAGACTAGATGTGCAGGAGAGGTGGGTTCATAGAGGCCAGACCTTAAGACCAAAGATGCTGAAGTACAACATTCTGTCCCTCCTACCCTGGGAAGCCTTCACAGACAGGCGCGACCCCATTGCCGCCAGTGCTGCCAGTGTCAGCAGTGTGGGATGCTGTGTCGCTTTCTGCCTCCACTTGAAAAAGCTAATCATAAAGACAAGGCTTCTTACAGTGGGACTAACCGTGTCCACTGGAAATAATTTCAGAATGGTTTCTTAAATCTCTTTGGGAGCCATTTCAGTTTACCAGTTGTGGACAAGAGGCCACAAGACTTGTTCTCGACCCCTACAACCTCTGATTGAGTCTTCAGATTCTGACTTAACCAGAACATCTGCATATTCAAGTACACTCTTCACAGTGGCTAAGATTACCTTTCTGAGCTTTTGATTCTCCTTCATGTAATCATCACAGATGCTGTTTCTGGTTTATTGATGATTATATGAGACTTCTAGTACAAAAATGAACGGGTAATGGTGCCTCTTTATTTTAAAAGTTTTAAGAAAAGAGCCACCTCATATTCATAGAGTGTGTATTTTGTGAATGTGTGAGCTTTTAATTGAAAATAAGGATGTTATGAAGTAAATTTTTTTTTTTTAATTTTTCTGTAGCAACTGAGGTATACAGAGACACTAAAACCCACACCAGGTCACGTGGGAATGAGGATCCTTGTTTTGTTTTGTTTTGTTTTGTTTTCTCTCCAGTTAGTCCCATAGGTTGTGCAGTTCAAGTTCAGTATTCTTTATGCTGCAAGTTATTTCCACCTCGGTGGTGTTGGGCTTTGGGATGGTGAATAGAACAAAAGCTAAGAGCCCTTGAGTTGTCCTCAAAGGCAAGCTGCTGGTGGACTATTCGCTCTCTGGTATTCCAGCTCAGCCTCTGTAATGGGGACTGTCAGCCACGCTGGCCAGTCTTTTCAGTCAGCAGACTCAGGTTATCTTTGGGGAAGGTTTGGTTAGTTTCATCACAAGCACGCGTCAGGTGAAGTCTCAAACCAAATCCCCGTTGTCCTTTAACTCTCCTCACGTTGTCATCTCTGGCAACACTAGAATGCTGCGGTCTGGAGGGACGTCAGCAAGGAAGGCGTGGCCTTTCGTGAGCCTGCCCAGCTGTCTTAGGTGTGCCGTAGTGCTTACCCTGAGCAGTGCAAGCTTCGTGAACTTCTCTTACTGAACCATAATTGACTAGATACCAAAAATACAGGGACAAATGTATTTTAGTAGCAGATGAGGCAGTTAAATATAGGATGAGTTTTCCGCTGTTGATTTTACTGTAATCAGCCAGAAAACACAAGTTCTGTTTTTAAGGTCCCTTTTGAACTATAGCAGGCTTGTGCTTCATTTACTTCCAAAGAGGCAGAAGCAGCTGGACTTGGCTGGCAGCATGTGCTCTGTTTTGTGTTCTGGACCTGCACTTCCTTTCAGCAGTCACTTGACTTTCTCCAGCCAGGCAGATGTGGGGTTCACTAGGATGTAGTGCCTGATCTTTCTTTTGGGAAGGGGTGGGAGTGAATGTTTTGAGGGTGGAAGGGAAGCAGGAGAAGAGAGCAGGAGTGTGAGTGAGTGTGCATGTGTTGGAAATTCGCCATCACCCCACCTGCATTGAGCAAGGGACAGGCATTCTATGTATTCTTCTCACGACTGCAGTGTGCATGTATTTTTTTCTCCCTTGTGTTTTCTAAACTTACACTAAAAGATTTCACCAGATCATCTTGTTCAGATGGCTCAGGATTGTATTTCTTTTGCTTACCCTGTGCTCTTGGGTTCTATAGTATTTCTATAATTATGTAAGAAGAATAGTGTTGCACTGTAATCTATCATATAGAGCTATATGTATGGAAACTTTTGATCAGTTTTTTAAGAGATGTATCCTGTTTGCAAAGGCACAATAAAGTTGCATCTTAGAAACTATAGGCAATAAAGCTAACAATAAACCTTATTTAACACAAACCATACTCACTCTCTGTTCATTTCATTTTGGACAAAGTCTAGCATATCCAGTAGTTTCAGGGATTTCATTTTAACTTAAATTCTGATATATTTAATTTATAAATTTCGGACTGATATAATAGAGTTTTGGAAAAGTATAAGAAATGCTTTGTTAATGTGCGTATTCCTATGTAAAACACATGGCTTCTCCTATGTATATTTTTAAAAATTAAATGTATGTTTAAAAAGCACTTTGTGGAACCGGTCTGTGTAAACGTGCCAGGCGGCAGAGGTAAGAGGGAGGGAGTAGGGAGGCGCCAGTTGTGAGAAAAGCCAGTCACTGCGTTTGCTAAGTCTGCATGCATGGAAAGAACTTGAGGATGTCACCGCCACCCTGTGGTATCAGCAGTGTGAGAAGAATTGGTGGCCCAGGACTGTCTTTAACAAGTAGGGGCCCTGTTTGATTCTAGGATACTGCCCCCATTTGGGCTCATCTGGGAACTCTGGGCTGCACTCTGATCACAGTGGTAGTGAGCGCGTGCTTGGAAGAAGCCCGGTTGGGGCAGTGAGCCTCTCAGGCTGCTGGTGCAAGGGCTGCCACACTCAGCACTGCAAGGACGAACAGGCTTCACCTGTCTGTCCTGCTCAGTGGTAAGTGAAGGTGGTGGAGTCATACGAATTTGTGCTCATTTTGTGTATTTGGAGACTTGGTCATGTCTCGGATCACAGACCCTTTCTCCACAGGAACCTTGCTGTGTCCTACCTTGGTAGTGGAATTTGGAGCTAGTGGCCGGGTGATGTCGAAGAGGCTGGCCTCTCCCCATCCCTGCCAGGGACAGCTATTGTGAGGCTTGTGTGAAGGGGTGCCCTGGCATCCATCGAGGTGCTGAGGTCCTGTGTTTAGGTGATAACATCCATCCAGAAAGTCACTGTGTGACGAGGGAACACTGGCACAGGTGCTGCATTTGGTGTAGCATATAGAGTGTAATCAGTGTGACGCTGTCTGTGAGAACTTTGGTACATCTTTTTCAGCATATATTATTTTTACCACGTCCCAGCAGCTGTCTGAACAATGAAAGAAATCAATATCAACTCAAGTATTTGTCCTTTTGTGGGGACTATTTATCATCATCATCATCTTACGGCCAAGGAAATGAACTTACAAAGCAGTGCGGTCACTTTCAGGAAGCTGGTTTCAGAGCCTCTGCGTTAATTACTCTGCCGGGGTGGCCCTGCAGAAATTTCTGGGGAAATGCACCCACGCAGCTGGCTGTGGGAGGGGATGCGGGTTAAGTGCTGTACACGTCAGTGGTTGCTGAACTGTGGTTGGAGAGGGTCCGCACACAGGCCTGAGTGAATAGCAGGAGCTGGTAGACCCTGGAGACTCCAGGCCCAAGATTGGGGACTGCCAAGGATGGAGCGGGCTCTTTTACTGTAAAAAGCAGTTCATTAAATAACCCACGTTGAGGCTCACTTCCAGCCAGTAGATGACAAAATTGTGGCTGAAGAAAGTATAGTTACTTCCTGTTTTTCAAGATTGGAATAAACGCACTCTGCATCTTCCACATAGATTTGTTGAATCGGGGCTTCAGATGAGTAATTGGCAAATAAAAATGTTGAGCCCTGAGGCTGACAGCTTGAAACTGCTGGGTTCCTGTGTGTGTAGGACAGGTTGGTTCCTCTAGTCATGTGGGAGCCCGAATTCACAGCCCGTCCTTTATTTAGCATGCATTAGGCCGAATGGCTTGCCCATTGCCTGTTTTTCTCCCCGGCCTAAAGCATCAGTTCTAGTGAATACTTATTCTTACATTGAGTTTTGAATTTATGAGTGGTTATTTCCCATTTTCCTTGTGAGTGAAATCCTTTTTATTTAAACACTGAACTTTTAAAATTCAGTACTTTATTCTTCCTCTCCCTCCAGCCTTCAAATGGTAGTTCTGTCCAAGCCCTGCTGAGCAGTAAGCTAAAGATTGAAGAGGAAACGCTACTCAGGATGGGAAATGATTTTCACCATGGCATGGTCAGCTTCACAGATTTCTCCCACAAGATAGAAGCAACCCATTGTGGGATGGTTCTCATCCTTCCCAAGGAGCCCAGAGGCAGCACGGTGCCAGCCTCTGCCACTGCAGGAGCCTCCCCTGGTGCTTGCCCTAAGCTGACCTCAGCACCCGCACGGCCTCGTGCTCATCAGGTGTCTGGATTCACAGAGGAAGGGGCAAGAGCCATTCCTTGTCTCAGGAAGTTTCTCAGCTTCTGTTTGCTTTCCCACACACAGGGCACTTCTCCAAAAGTATATTGGTTTTAAAAATTAAAGCTCTCGTGGCACACCGCTGTAGTTCCTCCTTGGGGGATGGGGCCAGAGGATCACTTGAACCCTAAGCAGGGCAATATAGCAAGACCTCATCTCGAAGTTAAAAAAAAAAAAGACTAGGGCTAGAGCTCAATGGTAGAGCCTGTGATCAGCATGGCCGTCGCCTGTGTGCATGCATGCACATGCACAAGTAAGATATCAAACAATACAGTGATCGTAGAGGGCAGGTGTTGGGAAAGAAGGGAAGAAGCTGTATTTTTGACCTGGTTCTGGTTATACAGGGGTCCTCACTGTGTAACACGGCAGCTGTACACGTAGGCCTTGTGCAGTTTTTCTTTGTAAGTATATTCTATCCCCAAAACGATTTTGCGATAGATTGCATATTAAAAGAAAGGCAAGCAATGGTAGAAGAGGATAACCATCATGATTTCATGATAATGAAGACTCCAAGGTAAACAGAGTAGGAACTAATCTGGTAATTTTACTTTCAGGTATTTATCCTAAAGAAAATTTTAGCGGTGTTATTTATAGTCATGGGAAAATGGAATGCTACTTAGCCAATTTAAAAAGCATGCTATAAATGTTTATTTACTAAAGCCACTTATAAAAACATAGTATTAAAAATACAAGGTAGATATTTTACATATATGCATAGAAAAAAGTTATACCATAATACTGATAATGGACTAAGAATTATGAGACATTGGTATTTCTTTACATAGATCTTTACCCCCCCCCCCCCAGTGCTTGCATAATATGACAACAGAGAACACCCTCATGGGACAGCAGTCTTGGTTTGGTTTCAGCCTCCACACCCGTCGCTTCTGCTGAAGGGAAGGAGGGAGGGCCAGAGATGTGCTGGGAGAGTTCCAACAACTCCAGTAGAAAGCGTCATCAGCGATCCCATGAGCATGTTCCAATCTGGTATCTCAGATTCAGAGACTCAACAGGACCTCTGCTCTCAAATGTGTTACAGATGGTTGATCATACTTGCAAAGCTTCATCCCTGGCTCTGCAGGGGCTGGGAGAGCAGTCTGGCCTTAAAGGAATTTCACAGTGATTTTCTTTAGCAATGGAGGGATTAATTTTCTGGGATTGAGTTCCTTTATTATAGGAATACATACTATTATAATTTTTCAGCTTTCTGTTCTGCTTTCCCTAGCACAGGTGACTCCCTTAATAGTATCTTGGTTTCAGCTGATACTCAGCCTATACAATTAAATGTTTCATTATAGGAAGGTCTGGTGTTAACATCCTTGAACCTGTCAAGGCAGAAATTCTCTTGTCTTCGTTTCATTGCCTCCTTGGATCTGACACCCAATCATGCTTTGAATCACAACCACCCCACCTTGAGCCCCTGGCCTCTGAAAGAGGATCCTGGATGGTGTGAAGGAAGGAGCCCAGGACTGACAGGCAAGGGCTCCAACCTCCAGCCCTACCTTATTGTCATTGGCCGAGTTGCACCCATTCTGAGCTTCAGCCTCCTCTGGTTGTCAGGGAAAGGTTTAGACCAAAGGATGCCGAGGCTGCCTCCAGCCCCACCACAGTGTAACTGTTGTGTGGGGGGGCCCCACGGCTTCCAAGCTCTTGCACAGGGCGAGCACAGAATTGCAAATCAGACATTGGATAGTGAGGGAAAAGCAGCACATTTATTAAAGGTCATGGACAGATATAAGTGACAAAGGAGCACTGCATTCTCTGCAGATAAATTAGGCTCTCGGGTTCAAAAAGCAGTTGCATGTGCTTTGGCCTGGGTTTAGATAGACTGCTCTTTGGGTGGCATCTGAGCTCAAGTGGGTGGAGGAGCATGATGAGGGATAAATGACCCCTGGGTGCTGCCCACCCTCAAGTGAGTGGAAGGGAGTGAATTCCAGTACCTGAGAGCCCTGCTTGCTACCCTAACCCCTGTGTGAGGTAACAGCCCTGTGACCCTTGTGAGCTGCAGATGCTACATGGTTTTATTTTTTGTCTAACGAAAAAGCAACTCTTCCCACCCCATGCCCACTAAAATAGTAATGAGAACAAATACATAGGAAGGAAGACTGGGAAACCCAAAAGAGGAGCACTTGCTGTCCAAGGAATGATCTCAGTATAAAGTCATGTAGTGGCTTCGCACAGGCTGGGCGCCATGTTGTTAGACTAACTTCCCTGAAGGGCTGGGTTTGCCTCCAGACCTGGCTTGGGGCCTGAAAGAGAAGAAAGGAATGTCAGAGTAGCAGGAGCCCTTCCAATGCAGCATCCATCCATGACCAGCTCCCTGACCCCTCAGAGTCTGAGAACTTGTCCCTGGAGTGCCAGTGTGGGGTGGAGTGAACGGCCTCGGCAGCCCCTCAGAGCACTCAATCCATGCCATCTTGCTTGTTCCTCACAGCAGCCACAGGAAACAGCAGCCATGGAGTTGGCACTGGGTGGCCCAGGGTCGCAGAACTGGGAGGTGGCTGAGGCAAGATCTGGGCCCAGTTAGCCTAGGTGCTTACAGCCTTTGTCAAGGTCACCAGGGAGGTAAAAGGCTGGGGCTGATGTGACTCTCAGCCCTGAGGATCCCAGGGCTAACAGGGGGTGACCCTAGTGGATGGCCACTTGACCTAAAATTACCTTTGCTGACCCAGACAAATTGCTGTTAATTTAATCCAGGGCAGTCATCCATGGGCTAATTTGTCAGGAATGTCATGTGCACATAGCCTGTCCTCTAAAACACCCTGAGGCTGAGTAGCCCTGGGGTCACGGAGTGATTCACTCAGCTGTGTGAACCCAGCAGGTGAGTTTAATCTGCATAGCTTTACCTCTCAGGGCAGGACTCAGTTCTTGCAAAAGTTTCCAACTATGTTCCAAGTAATAAAAATACTAAAAATCCTTCTTGGTTTTTAGAGTTTTTATCGTTAGAATTGCAGCAACATATGCATTGGGAATTCATTATATTCCCAGTGTTTAATGATGCATAAAGATGCCCCTAGATTTGTACAGGGGAATACCAAGAAGGATAAAATGGAAGCTCAGGTATAAGATCTGAAATATTTTCATCTATTGGAAGGAATTCGTGTATTTCGTTGGTTACTCTTAACACTGGGACTGAGCTTTGAAAGTCTCAACTCTGTTACTTGGATGCCATGTGGCTTTGGACAAATCACTAAATCACCTCTAGATTATTTGTAACCCCTCATACGATGTAAATGCTGTATTGTTTGGGGAATAATGACAAGGAGGAAATGTCTGTTCTTTAAAAAATGTATTTGGGGGGGCTGGGGATTTAGCTCAGCGGCATAAGCACCTGCCTTGCAAGCAGGAGGTCGTGAGTTCGATCCCTGGTACCAATAAAAATGAAAAAGACACACACAAAAAAAATGTATTTCCTGTCCAAGGTTCAGTGTGCAGAGGTAAAACTCAAGGAGCCCCAGCTCACAGGGGTGACTGTAAAGCAACTGTGGGTTTTTTGCAGAAGATAATCGAGTGTCAAGTGTCGGCCTGCCTCTGCCCCCTCGGGTGGGTTTCCTAACCTCGAAGCAGAGATCTGTGAGTTGGGACCATGACGTGACACCTGCCATAGGTGGCTGCTGTGAGGAGTAAGAGACCTCACACTGCAGGCTCTTGCGTGGCTGAGATTTCCCTAGGACTGAAATGTTGCTTCTGCCTGAGAACCAGGGAGAGCAGACTGAGGTCTTTCTCACTGAAGGACTTTTTGTTTTGTTTTGTTTTGCCAAATGCTGAATGCTTACGCTAAACTGAACGAGGAAGTCATTTGAGTTGCCAGAGAGCTAATTACTTTCCTCCTATCTTTGGCATTAAATCAAGGCCCTGTGTTGACATAGGGGAATTAATACCAGAGGCCACGAGGTGGGGCTGGGGTATGCGAGAGAAGAGACCATAAGAAGGGAATGGGGGTTTCTCAAGAAAGCAGTGGAATCTGCATGGAATTATCCCCCCAAAAGAGGCCCACAGATATTCGAGGAGCTGAACAGAATACCAGGAAGCCTCCGGTGGGTGGCTTTTCTGGTGCTAAGCCAAATGAAGATTTAGAATGATCTTGCCAAACCTTCCCCACCCCCACTCCCCAACCCCCTATCAAGAGCTCAGCCACAGATGCTGGGGATTTAGCTCAGCGGCATAAGCGCCTGCCTTGGAAGCAGGCAGTCGTGAGTTCGATGCCCGGTACCGATTAAAAGGAAAAAAGACAAAAAACAAACAAAAAAAAAAAAAAAAAAAAAAAAAACCTCAGCCACAGCGCTAGCCTTTTCGTTCAAGGCTTAGCTGACCACAGCTAAGCGAGACCACAGCCACAGCCCCTCACCACTCCCTGCCACTGGGATAAAAGAGACTCACCTAGGACATTTGCAAACGCGTTGTCTGTTCCCTGGATAAGAAGAAAGGAGGAAAGTGAGTGCCCCAGTGGTGTCCGTATGCAGTTCCTCCTCTTTTCCTAGTTCTTCCCTCTCAAACATTAATTTTAAAAACATTGCAAGCACAGATGTGGGCGAACGTGCCGATTCTGCAGACCTGCGCTGGCACAGTCATTTACATGGAACTCAAAGAGAGGTAGGGGTTCGTGGGGTGGGGGCCAAGCCAAACCTTGAAACCAGTCAACGTTTGACCCAGGTTTCAGGGCTCAGGTACAGACCTGCACCCCACCCCCACGCGCTCCGCTGTTTGCAACAAATCGGGACTCTGGCTGCGAACTGAGTTTTGCGGGTGGAACGCGCACTCCTACAGCTCGCCATTAAGACGCTGTTTGCAAAAACTTTTTCCTGGAGTGGAAAAAGGGGAGGAAAGGCTTTCCTGCCTTTTATCTCCAGGAAAAACGGGCTGTCCCTGGTCCTGCAATGTAGTTCCGGAATCTGAAACGTGCCCCCAACTCCTCTCAAGGGCTGCTGGAGCGAGCGCAAAGGGCGGGCGCGGGGCAGCGTCCCCCCGGGGGTTCCCCAGGACTTACTGCGGTGGCAGATGATCGTGATGACCAGTGCCAGCAGAAGGGCCGCGCATGTGCTGGCCAGGGGCGCCCAGATGTAGACATCACAGGAGAGATCCAGCCACCTCGCACCTGCTTCCACATTTAGCGATTGGCCGCGATCGCCGTCCCGCCGCACCCCGCCATCGCCAGCACCACTCCCCGCCCCCGACTGTTTCCCCCAAATCTGGACCGCCTTCCAGGATCGGAGGATCCGAGTGACCCCCGCAGTGGGTGTCCCCTGCGGCCCGCCGGGAACTCACGCAGGCCTTACCTGCTGCGCCCTTAGAGACCACACACGTCTCGGGGCGCACCGACGTGGGCTGCACGCTGGGGGTCGGCGTGGTGGGAGGGGGAGGGGGCGTCGTGGTGCGAGGAGCTGCGGGAGCAACAGGGCGGTTGAGTGGGGAGCTGGGAGAGGCGGCAGATGCCTCGGGCTCGGTCCTCGCTCAGCATCCCTACACCCCTGCATCCAAGGGCGCGCCTCCTCTTGGTTCTCCCCGTAAGGGAGAAAGGACGCTGGGTAGCAGGGACCCTGGTGCTGTGGGCAGAGCCGCTGCCCGCTGCCCGCTGCCCTCCGTGTGACCTGTGAGCCGGGTACACAATCTATTTTTGTACTGGGGGACAAACAAAGGTGCGAGGGATTTCAGTAATTTGCCCAGGATCTCGCAAGCAACTGAACTTAGATCAGCGGGGACAAAAAGCCGTTTCCGGTCCCTATTGGGCCCACTCTGCAGCTTGGTTTTTCAGTCTGTGCTTGGGAATAGTATCTAAGTAACCCCCAGGGGGTTAAGAGGTGTGAAAAACCTTTTCGGACCGAGTGGGTGGCTCACACCTGCCTGGAAACCCAGCACTCAAGACGGCAGAGGCAGGAGGATCACCACGAGATCCAGGCCAGCCTGAGCTACACAGCAAACTCCTGTCTCAAAGAACCAAAATATAACATAAAATGAAAAATGCGTTTGAGGGTGAGCCCCGAGCCGCCCTGCGGAGACGCGCCCTGCGCTCGCACCTGGCAGGAAGACGGGAACGAACGGGCTGAAGTAGAGCATCATGTTGCCGGAGACCGAGCAGAAGTAGTAGCCTTCGTCTCGCTTCTGGAAGCTGTTCACCGTGAGGGTGTAGGTGTTACTGCTCTTCGAGGGGCTGAATCGCTTCTGTTCCAGCCCTGGGGCCAACTTGGTCCCGGACGCCGAATGGTACAGGAGGAAGGTGGGACCTTTGGCGTCGTGGCGGGGCTGGAAGAGCCACGAGCATCCCGCCGGCGCGTTAGGCACCAGCACCTCACAGCGCAGGGTCACTTTGGTGCCGACTTGCGCGACCAGTTCACGGGGTGACATTCGGAACTGACTGGCACCTTGGGCCGTGGCGGCGTCTGCAGGGTGTGGGGAGAAGCAGCGAGGCTGAGCCCGGAGCCCGACCTCCCCCATCTGCTGTCCCACCCCTGCCCCGTGGTCGCCACCGACTCACCGAGCAGCAGGGCCACCGGCAGCAGCAGCAGCCAGGCGCTTCCTCGCGGGGCCATGGCGCGCGCTCCTCGGCGCAGGGCAGAGCCTGGAGTCCAGGCGTGAAGGGAGCGCCCAGGAGCCAGGGGATGCGCAGTGGGGAAGTTGCACCCTTGGGCCGGCGGCGAGGCCCGACGTCGATTTTGGAGGATGTGATGTCACCCGAAGCCCCCGCTGCGGCGAGTCGCTCTGTTTTCGCGGTTGTCACCTTCCAGCCCAAGGAGGGGCTGGGAGCAGCTGTGGGCACTGAAAACCGGGGGTTTGGGGGCACAGAAAAGTGCTTGGAAATGGCCATGCACGTGGCTCTTTGGTGCGAGTAACAGACACAGGTGAAGGCGGACGAAAGCATTCAGGAGACCAGGATGAGAGGCAGGAAGGGAGCAAAGTGTCCCATTCGCTGGCCCTCACTCCATGTCGCCTTAGGGCTTCTGCACTGAGGCACTGAGGCCGGGCATGGAGAGGAGCAGGTGACCCGGCCACTTCTGGGGAACTCGAGAAGGGCAGTCCAGGCCTGTTCCAGCGTTAGAGGGGACACCTTGGTGGCACCTGCCTCCTCTGCTGACCACACAGCCTCATTGCCTCTTAGGCAGCAGCCCAACAGCCATCACCCCTGCAGCTCCCCTCCACCTGGAAACTCAACCCCTGGCTGGCTTCACCAGCCCTTGTGTGGGCTGACCCCTCCCAGCCTCAAGGCTTCCGGTGCCCGATTTTGCCTGGCTGTCCTGCCTGGCCTACAAGTCTGCTACCTGCTGTGCCACACCCCGACCTCCTCCCCGCCTGACTTGCACCTCCTTTCTCTCCTCCCCTGGGCTGGGGGCTGGGAAAAAGTGTGCCCGTGTGGGAGTGGGGGAGGCCCGCAGCTTTCCCACTTTTGTCCCTGTGATCTGATCTCTTCCTTCTTGCCTTCCAGCCTCAATGGCACACTTTCTTCCCCTTTCACCAGCTTCCTCCTTAGAATCCCCTATTGGCACCCCTCCCATTGCTGCTGGTGATTCTGGATACAGCCTGCTCCGTGGTCTGCCTCCCCGCTGCACCCCAATGGGTGTGGCAGAGCTCAGGAAGTCACAGCACTGCATGGACTGAGCTGTGTCCACTGGACTGCACTTCCCTGATCGCTAAAGGAAAGCAAACAAGTGTTGGATGGGCTTTACATTTGCTTATTTCATTTATTTCGGTTTGTATTTATTGTGCTAGGGATCAGACCCAGGGCAAGTGTTCTACCACTCAGCTGTAGCCCCAGCCTTTGAGGGCGTGGTGCCTTTTTTTCAATTATTTTGATTTCACCACCAGCATCACCCCAGCATCTAAAGTGTTTAACCATGAAATGGAACATTTTATATTTCAAAAAAGCAAATTTAAGTGTCTTAAGTTACAAGAATATTCTTTTCAGGGTTGGGTATGGGTTACTGGGTATTGAACCTGTAGCCTTCACACTGAGCTACATCCCCAGCCCTTTCTTATTTTTATTTTGAGACAGGGTCTCACTCATTGTTAAATTCCCCAAGCTGGGCTCAGGCTTGTGACCTCCCAGAGTGCTGGGAGTACAGCTGTGCACCAACAGGCCCAGTAAAAGTAATATATTCTTATAAAAAAAATCAGACAGTGCAAAAAGTGAGTACAAAGTCTTCTGTCTCAACGTTTTTGATTGTCATCACTTTAGAAAAAAACCACTGTTATAGTTGAGTGTGTTCCTCAGATATTATCTGTGCACAAACAGATGTTTATGCATTGTTTTAGACATGTGGGGTTGTTAATATATCTACATATACATAGACACACTGCAACTTACCTTTGTTATTTAGCAGAAGGAAAACTTTCCATGTCAGCAGATGTAGATCCACTTTATTTATTTATTTATCTATTGGCTTTTTAAGACAGGGTCTCACTATGTAGTTTAGGGTGGCCTTGAAGTCTTTCTGTAGTTTCAGAGCTGCAAACGAGGAGATCTCAGGCTGGCCTGAGGCTGGCCTGGCACTCAAAATTGTCCTCCTGCCTCAGTCTCCCAAGTGCTGGGATTACAGGCACACACTACGATGCCACCCCACTCTTCTACATGGGTACATATTATATATTTATACATTCTAACATTTAAATCTCCTACTAATGGACATTTCAGCAGTTTCTCCATTTATGCAGTTGCTGTATTAGCTCTGCTGTGATATACATACCTGCCTCACTGAGGATTACTCCAGCACGTGGAACATTTTCAGATGGAAGATGGAGGAGATAGGGAAAGAAAAAGCTCCTCGATGATTTGTGTGTGTGTTCCTGGGTGTACGCGCTGTGCTGTTCTTCCGCTCAGACGAATGAGAACAAGGAAGCAGACAGGTCATCAACATGGCAAGCCTTGCTGTAGATGGCCGCTTCCCATTTTGTTTGGTTACTGTCCCTACTGCAGGAGGAGTATCCTGTGACCCTGCTGACTCAAGGATGCAATCTGAAGGGTGACAAAGAGGATGGGTGGACATGGACATATACGTTGCCTAGTTAGGGTGGCACTAGGTCAACCCTCAGAGGTTTGGATCTAGGGAACCAGGTCTCCGAGTGTGATGATGGCTGGACTTTTGGGGGGTGTACTGCTTGAAAACAAGCGGAAGTGAGCTACCGCTGATTTGGGGGCTTTCCAGCCTCATAGCTAAGCCAAGGGTAGCAGCCCCTTTCCACAGAGCACCGTGGGGGGCATATCAATGCAGCATGTCAAACCCACCAAGGAAGCTTTGTGACCCCAAAGATACTTTTCACAATTGGTGGTGAATTTTCGATGTAACCACAGCGACATCCGCTCTGCACAAGGCAAAAGAACAGGTGCGATTGCACAGGCTTGGAAGCACTGGCTCTGCAGCCCAGGTGTGCAGAGCACTGGGCTGGGCCTGCCTGTCATGGGCAGGTGAGGTCTCGCAGCCCAGCCTGTGGCACTCTCATGGGATGAGGAACTGGGAATGACTGCACTCTGTCACACAAGTCCTGTATTTTTCAAAATATGTAGAGAAAACAAAACAAGTAGATAGGCCTTTGTTATTCTCAAAATGTCTGTTTCTGTTTTGACTTTATTTTGGGGGGTTTTTTGGGAGATAGTCTCAGTGTGTAATCAGGCTGGTGTTGAACTCACTACAGAGGCCAGGCTGGCCTTAAACTCACAGTGAGCCTCCTGCCTCAGCCTGCTGAGTGCCAGGATTACACATGTGCACCATCATACCTGGTAAAGTGTCAGTTTTAGAACTATGGCAATGAAAAGATTTTAATTCACACACATTAAAAATATTCAAAATACTGGGCAGGGCAGGAGCAGGAAGTTCATCAGAGCCCTCTGCTCTGGCTCCTGAGATGTGCACTAGAAAGAAAAGGTGGAATCACAGCCGTGCAGTTGCCTGCTGTCTCCCTGGCCAATTCAGTTCTACGGACTGTTATAGATCTCCTAGTTTGCAGCTCTGAAACTACCAGGACTTTGCTCTGTCTCAGTCACGAAGACCGTGTCAGCACGAGTTCACCTCTGCCATTCTTACTTTGCACCCCTTGGATCCTCAGGTTCATCTGTGTGGCTTTCATCTCCAGCCTGGGTCTCTGCAGTGGCCTCCTAACTTCTGCCCTATCCTTTCCGGTGAAGGTCTCCTCATGCTACCCCCCTGCTTCAGCCCAAAAAGGGCTTCCTGGGTTTTCAAGAAATACTTGTTGAGTGAAAGCTAAATAGAAAGTAGAATATGGCAGAGTCGAAGATGTAGAGACCAGAGTTCATTTTCCTGGCAGCTGTCAGAAAGGTTTTACAAAAGTGGATGGGCTCAAAAATGGGTTATGAAATTAGGAGAGAGTTGATGAGAAGCAGGCATGTGATTTCTATCCAAAACGGTGTGACTGCTGTGCTGTGACACGTGGTGACGGTCCAGCTGAGAATACGAGAAGGTGGGAAGAGAGAAGGCTGTGCATCCAGAAGCAAGGTCGGCGTGGCTGCAGTGGTGGAATCCGGGCTGCAGTCAGGGTTGGCTTCCTGGGCTCTGGCCTTTCTGGGGTCTGGCTCTTGAGGGTTCATTGTTGATACAGAGACACCAGGACTGGAAAGTTAATGAAGTGCTTCCTGGAGCCTGGTTTTCTCTTGACACAGGGACTTCCATGTATATTTCTGCGGATTAAAAGGTGACAGCCCAGAGCCACTGTGTTCCTACTGGTTCCTACTGGGAGCCCTGAAACCCGAGAGGCTGCTTAAAACATCAGGAAGAGGAAGACAAAGAGAAGAGAGTGAAACATTTTTTTTTCTACTCAAGAGAAATTTGCTTGCATACTCAAAATTCAAAGCGTATAAGAGTGAACAACTGGAGCCTGGGTCCACTCCCAAAGAAATGCAAATCATGGACCAATGTGAAAAGGGTTTTACTGTAAGAGGAAGAGAACTTGTAGAAAGTAAAGAAATTAAACCAGAACAGCTCAAGATCATAAGTATTAACTGTACTGGAAATGAAAACTCAAGGTAGAAGGTAGGATGCACTGTAAGTTGAACACAGTTGAAGAAATAACTTGTGAACTAGAAACCAGCACTGAAAAATTCTCACAGAACACAAACCAGGAGGGCTAGGGATTTAGCTCAGTGGCATAAGTGACTGCCTTGCAAACGCGGGGTTGTGAGTTCGATCCCTGGTACCGGCAAGAATACAAGCCAGGAGAAATGCATACAGAAGCAGTTTGAAAAAGCTGTTTCCTGGTGATTTGGCTCTGTGAAATGTTTACTAGGATTCCAGAAAGAGAATAAAAGAAAGGAGGGCAAAGAATATGGAAAGAGATCGTGGCTAAAAAATTTCATAATTAATATATAAGTCCTTAAAAAATATAAGTCCTTAAGTCAAACCAAAACACCTGTCACAGTGCCAAATGGGATAAATAAAATTATATTTCTTTCTGCACAGACGTTAACAGGGAAGAGGAAGGCATCTTGGGAAGCTTGATGAATGTCTGACATGTGTTCAGCCAGTCCTAGGTTGGCAGGAAACACAAGCTGAGCTGTAAAGCAGAGAAGCCCACTCGTTTTGACTTCGAGGGCTGACTCTGTCTGCCCTTCTCTCTGGTGACACATGCTTGACCAGTAAGCAAATTAAACTGGAACTCGTGATGCAGATCTTCAGTCCTGAGAATATTGAAAGAGAAGTGTCCCAAATGCAGTCAAAGAGCAAGGATTGGAGTCCAGGAAAGGACCAGGACTGGAGTTGAGTTTGACAAGGAGGTGTTATGGAAAGGTAGTGACGTAGACCGAGAGGGTCAAAAGAGGATACGAAACCTCGGGGGAAAACTCACCTAAGGAGGAAACAATTGACACAGACTCCAGGCCGTGTGGGAAATTCAGGACGGGGCTTGAGAAGGTGGGAAAACCTCACTGGGGAGGTTTGATTTATGATGGAGGCCTGGATGGCAAGCATGTGGCAAAAAGAGAAGGTGTAAGTCACAGCCACATCTGGGATCCACCAAGGGATGAGGGCGAGGAGGCTGATGGGAAGGCTGGGGGCGATGGATGGGGGCTTCTAAGGTGACGGAGACTGAAACAATGTTAACCGGCCTTCATTCATTGAAATGATTGCACCCATTACTTTTAACTTTTGAAAACATTTGAACACAGAACAATATAGCAGGTAACATGAAACACTCATGGGATCTTATTTGGAGACAGGCTGTTTCTGATTTTTGTCATTATAATGATACTACAACCAACATCACTGCATGTTACAGAGAATCCAAATACAACATTTCCTCTGGGTATTGGCCTGGAAGAGGAACAGTTGACCTCAAGAAGAGAGATTGTTTGAAAAATGTTTCTCTTCAACCCCCACAGCTATTGGTAAATTCCAGAGTGGCATCAGTTTGTACCCAACTCACGTGAGTGAGTTTCCATCACCCACGTGCTTGGCGACACCTGGTTTTCGTCAGTGTTTTTATTTCTGCCAGTCTGGTAGGTGTGAGCTGACATCTCATTGTTGTATAAACTCTCCTATTTCCTAGAGGCTCTGGGTTCAATCCCAGCTCCACAAAAACAAACAAACAAAGCCCACCTTGCCTCTCCCTGGCTGAGTTTGAGCCTGAGCATCTTGCCCTGGATTGGTGGCTACCCAGCTTTCTTTCTCCGCAGATCGCCTGTTCATGCCCTCTGCCCACCACCCTGGGGGAGATCAACAGTATTGAGGTAATGTCCACCCTCAGGGATTGTCCTTGCTGTCCTTCTGGGTCACCTGTCACTTACATATGAATTTGGTTGCCTAGAAAACCTGATTTCTTTCCAAGCAACTGTGCACTACTAATCTCCTTAAGCAGAAGAGTCTTCTGTTCTTTTTTTGTTGGAAAGCTGCCCTGAGTCCTGTCAGTGTTTGTTCTAGCAATAACAGTGTTGCAAAATAAAACACAGCACAAGGGACCCTCTGCCCTCCATTTCCCCTTCTTCTTTCGTCTCCTTTCCCCTCCTTCCTCCACCTTCCTTTCTTTCTTTCTTTCTTTCTTTCTTTCTTTCTTTCTTTCTTTCTTTCTTTCTTTCTCTCTCTCTCTCTGTCTCTCTCTCTGTCTCTCTCTCTTTATCCTTTTGAGACAGGGTGTCACCGTGCAGTGCAGGCTGGCCTTGAGCTCACTTTGTAGCCCAGGCTGGTCTCGAATTTGCTACAGTCCTCCTGCCTCAGCCTCCCGAGTGCTGAGGTTACAGGCAGGCATGCGCCAGCACGCCCAGCTCTCCCTTTCTTTTTCTTCCTGTCTTCTTCCTACTCTTCCTCTTCTCTCCTCTTCCTCCTTCTCTGTCTTCTCCTTTCCTCCACCCATCTTCTTTATACACAACACACCATTTGTTGTCTCCAAACAGCTTACCCCAAAATAGAAACCTGAAGCAGTCAGTGGAAAATTTTCTTTTTACAGCAGCCGTTAATTCTTCCTGGGCGCTGGCCAGGATCCTTGAAGTAACCTCAGCTCAGCCCTCAGGCGCTGCACTCCCACGGTCCCCGCCGCACCCCGGTTCTCGGTCCCCTGCCTGCTGCGGAGCACGGAGACCACCGCGGGCCCAGGCGGAGGCGGAGCCCAGGCATCCGGGAGGGGCTCCGGGGACCCCAGCAGTGCGTGGCGGGGGTGAGGCCGTCCGGCGGCTGGGTCCCTGGGGCGGCTCCCCCTGACACCCCCCCACTGCGGCCCTGGGGGCTCGGTGGCCACCGCGGTGTCCAGGCTGCATCCCTCCCGGCCCCCCAGTCCACCTCTCCCACTGCCCACCCCGTCTGGGGGAAGCCAGGGCACAGAGCTCACTGTGGGTGCTGAGCAGAAACTGGGGGTTCAGAGTTGGGGGGAGAAGGAGACTGGCTGAGGGCTTAGGGGGAAGAGAAAAGCAGAGTACAGGCCGGACATGAACTCAGAGAGCCCTGGACACTCAGGGAGAGAAACAGGCCCTGAAAGGCTGCATCCTTCCGGGCTGGACCAGCCTGGCTGCCCCCCACCCCCCTTCTGTCCGGTTCTGCCTGCAGCAAGCGATGGATGCTGCCTTAGTATGGGGGAGGCTAAGGGAGATAGATGGCGTCCAGCAAAGTGTGGCAGGCGCAGGCTTCCACCCGACAGGGAGGTGCACTCCTGAGTTACAGGCATCCCAGTCTGTTCGGCCTCCTCGCCTGGCTGGGGCTCCGACCCCAGTCCCAGGACCCCCGTCTCCTCCAAGGCCCTCTTGTTTTATTACAGGTCCCTAAGAATCCTGCTTTGCTTTGGTGACCAAGATGACTGTTGGGGGGTGAAGTAGGATGGGATGGAATCAAAACTGATGGCATCTCTGGCCCAAGACAAGGCCGGAGAGGGGAGATTTTTGGTCCTCCCCCACCCCCCGTGTCTGTCAGTCACTGAGGCTGGTGTCCCCCTCGGGGCAGAGGTGGCCCTGCAGAAAGGTCTGGGCCATGGGTTCCACCCTGCATCCTGGGCTCAGGCCGGGCCTGGACAGGGAGTGCTGGGAGCCAAGGACCCTCTGAAGTTATTAGGGCTCATTCATTTCAGTCTGCTCCTGGTTTCAGTTTACCTGGGTGGCCCTCTGGCGGGCTGCCAAAGGCTGTTAGAGAACGGGTGTCATGCTGTTAGCCACTAACAAGTCCTTACACGTAGTAGCCCCTTTCTTTTCCTGTGATGTGAACCAGCTTCCTCCTTTTGCAGAGGAGTCTTCAGCCAGGCACAGTAACAGAAGCCAGGAGATGGCATGGGCCCTGAGCTGAATCTGTGGCTTCAGCAAATCCCTAAATCTCTTAGTCCTCAGGTGAATACAGTTAATATCTAGCCAAAAAACCTTCACCTTCTTATTTATTTATTTGATCTTTTTGAGACAGGGTCTTGCTATGCAGTTTGGGTTGATCTTGAGCTCACTGTGTAGCCCAGGCTGGTCTCAAATTTGCAAGGATCCTCCTGCCTCAACCTCCCAAGTGCTGGGATTACAGACACACACCGCCACGCCCAGCATGCTTTCTTATTTAGCTTAAAAATATTTTGGAAAATATAAAACAAGAAGAAAAGAAAAAAATAATCATTCACAGTGCCAGTGTTAACCTGTTGGTGCATTTATTTTGTACTGTTTTCCAAAATCTTTTTGCTTTTATCCTATATATATGTATTTTTCTTTTCTTTCACTGTCATTTTCATCAAATTTCCTATTCAGGTTCCCAGTCTGCTTTTTTTTTTTTGTTGTTGTTGTTTGTTTGTTTTGTAACAGGTCTTTGTAATCCAGGGTGGCCTTGAATTTTTGACATCCTCCTGCCTCAGCCTCCAGAGTGCTGGGATTCCAGCATGTGCCATCATGCCTAGGATCTAGTATGCTTTCAGAAATTTTTATTGTGGGCCAGAGAGTTAGCTCAGTGGGATAAGCACCTATGTGGCAAACATGAGATCATGAGTCTGATCCCCAATACCACAAAAGAAAAAAAATAGTGGTCGATACAAAAATTCTTATTATATCACTTTCTCTCATAACCTGTTTTTCCTTAATCTCACTTGATAGCTGCATAATATTCCACTCAATTTTGTCCAGTTACTTAAACATTCATACTGTGTCCACCTTTTCATTATGATACAGTGAATTTGAAATAATATATAATTTCAATTTTTATTTCTGTTACCCAAGGGTTCATAAAAGGAGTCTTTAATTCTTCAGCTGGATATATGTTCACCTCCTTTTGTTTATAACTTTATTGCTCTATGACCTGAGAATGAAAATATATTCATCGTTTTTTGGAATTTGAGTTTTTGATTGATGTTGACTTTGTAACTAATGTAGGCATAATTTTGCATGAGTGATTAGAAAAAATGCATATATTAGA